TGAAAGAAGTGTTGATCTTTTACATGAACAGACCTTAGAAAATACACGTAGGGCCCCAAAGGCAGATCTGACCTACAACACCTCTTAAGCACGGCTTTTCTGGTAAATGTCGTCTTTTAAAGAGAATTCAACTGTACCCGCTTCTTCCTTGTCCTCTTTCCTGGTTCTTTGGAGAGTGCTTCCAAAGGCCCCGTTGGTTGCCTTTGGGTGTTGAATCCACTCTCCACCAAAGGCTGTGTGGGCTGCTGCTGATTCAGCATTACGCGGGGCAGACTGCTGTGACACACAGGCAGGATGAAATCATTTTAACAGCGTTGCTGACGCCTCATGAAACAAACAAAAAAAACAAACTTGGAGAAGCAACTTCTATTTAAAGATAATTGTGTTGCGCGCGCGCACGCGTGTGTGTGTGTGTGTGTGTGTGTGTGTGTGACAGACTTCTCTCTATTCTATCTCCTCCCCTTATTCCTTCTGAGGACATTCATAGGGAAATGGCTTTTATAGACCTATCCATAAAAAAGCTGTAATCTTTTTTGTCACCAGCTATTAATATATTCCCCAGTATTAGAGTTGTAAAGGTTACCAATCCCTTGGCTTAAGACGTTCACTTAGAGTCAGGAAAACTAAATGACAACACAAACCGAACCCCATCTCCCCTTCCAGGGTGACAGATATGTAACTGGATGTCTCATGCTTTGTCCCTGGGATCCTCTGTGACTCCAAAGCTCACACTGCGAGGGCCCCGCTCCCACCCCTTGCTGCAGAACACCTTTCTCCTTGGTTCTGTCACTCCACCTGGGATTTTACATTATTCATTCACTTGGATGAAGGCATGACGATCTCTGTACAACAGGAAGCAGGCAAAGGGAAAATGATAAATCAATAGAGGCTGTTCACACTTAGCTTTGGTGGGCGGTCAGATGAATGAGTGGGGAGGAATGAGTCAGGTGACCCTTGAGTTTTAAGGGCAGACACCCAAGTAGGTGGCGGGGGTCCTGGAGGCAGGATGGTAAGGGTGCCAAGAGGTAGGAGCTCTCACTCCCTTCTGCCCGTCATCATTCATAGCTTTCGGTTCTTCAAAGGTGCTTTTCATTCTGTGCTAGAAAAGGTATGAGCGTTACAATGTAAACGTAAATATTCTGAGTTGTGGAGAGAAGCTGACGTCTGTTTTCCAACTTTGACATGGGAGTCTGGAGAACCTGTGAAGAGCATGAGTGGCTCATCATGGATGGAGCAAGCAATGCTAATTCACAAAGTGCAAAAATGTTCCCGAGGCTGGGCAGAGCATGAGATAGGGCGAAGTCTCTGCGTGGTCTGCAGGCTGGCCACCTGCTATCCCACCATTTGTAAAAAGCCACAAGGTGTTGTGGCTCACACTTGTAATCTCAGCACTTTGGGAGGCCAAGGTGAGAGGATTGCTTGAGGCCAGGAGTTTGAGACCAGCCTGGGCAACATAGCAAGACCCCTATCTCTAAGAAAAACAAAATAAATTACCATGTGTGGTAGTGCATGCCTGAAGTCCCAGCCACTCAGGAGACTGAGGTGGGAGAATTGCTTCCGCCCAGGAGGGGTCACAGTGAGCTATGATTGTACCACTGCACTCCAGCCTCGGTGACAGAATGAGACTCTGACTTAAACAAAATAAAATGAGCAGGAATTTCTGATGTTGCAGAAAAAAAAAAATTTTTTTAAGGCATGCTTTCTACTTTTATTGGCAAGAATTGCTAACTTGATGGAAATGTTTAAAATCTCTCTTAACCATGTTATAATAAAGTAGGAAAAATGAAATTCAAATCCTGTTTTTGTCACTTACTAGCTCAGTGACTGGGGAGGTCTGAATGTTGGCCACCAAATAGAAGTGTCCACATCCTAATCCCTAGAACCTGTGAATGAGATGTAATTTGAGAAAGGCTCTTTGGAGATGTTATTAAGTTAAGAATCTCAAGATGATGCAGGTGGGTCCCATATCCAGTAACAGGCGTCCTTATACAGAAACAGATGAGAGACGTAGAGGAGAGGAGATGGCCATGTGAAGCCAGGGGCAGAGACTGGAGCAATGCAGACAACAGCTTGCTTTGCAGTTTTTTTTCCCACCGGAGACTCCTATTATCCACGTGTTGAAATTTCTTTGCCTTTCTTCGTTATTTATCACTTTCTCTTGTTTTTAAAATCTTTGTTTCTTCATTTTTTAAAAAATTTCCTGGGCCGGGAGCGGTGGCTCAAGCCTGTAATCCCAGCACTTTGGGAGGCCGAGGCGGGTGGATCACGAGGTCAAGAGATCAAGACCGTCCTGGTCAACATGGTGAAACCCCGTCTCTACTAAAAATACAAAACATTAGCTGGGCATGGTGGTGCATGCCTGTAATCCCAGCTACTCAGGAGGCTGAGGCAGGAGAATTGCCTGAACCCAGGAGGCGGAGGTTGCGGTGAGCCGAGATCACGCCATTGCACTCCAGCCTGGGTAACAAGAGTGAAACTCTGTCTCAAAAAAAAAAAAAAATTCCTGCTTCCACTTTGTGTTTTTTTTTTTTTAAATCACCGTTTGTATAGATTTAACTTCTATTCTTACTAGTTTCTCTTCATTTCTGAAAAGATTTTTCTTTTCCTTTTAATTCTTTCCAGAGTTCTGTCATCTCATTTGGAGGTTTTTCTAATTCTGGTTTACGCTGTGTTTGCCCCATGCTTCCTATCTTTTCCTTCTTATCTTTTAGCTGGTTTGGAGGTAGGGATGGTTTTGAATTGTTCTAAAGTCATGTTGTTTTGGCATGTTTTCTTTAGGGACGCTATTCTGCCCCTTCTGTTCTTTTCTTATGAAAACTCTGTATGGGATTTGACTCCCTACTTTGGTATTGCTCATTTTCATCTGAAGACAGTTTTCCTGAATTTTTATGAAATGGCATGGTTCCAGCCTTAGCAAGCCCTCTCTTCTACTGTTTTCATGCAGCATTCAAATAAATGGCGGCTTGCTTTCTAAAATTGCCTGGTTCTGTTTCCTTTGGGAGACCTTGCATCGAAGTCTCTGCTGTCCCTATCCTTTTCAGTGTGGTTTCACTCCCAGCAGCTTCTCCACAGCGATCCTGGAAGCTGGCCATCCAAAGTGGCTGGTTAGTTGCAGAGTTCACAGGGACCAGGGGATTCCACATCCACACCTCCTCGAGTCCACCTGCATTCACTACTATAATTCCTATAGTAGAGCAAACCCTCTCCCACCTCCAGGCTTTCTAGTGAACACCTCGTGGCTATTTTTGGGTTTTCCCTGTTCCAAAGGCTACTAAAAGTCCCATTAAGGTGGGACTTGCAGATGTCTCATCACTGGGTTTTGCTTTTGCTATTGAGTTGCTCTGCTCTTCCATGGGGGTTCTGAGAATTACACTGTGGCCTGTGCGGTCCTGCCAGGCTCCGTCACCAAAGACTTCATGCTGGGAAAGACAGAGCCCCTTTGGCATCTCATAAAAAAGAATTCCAGTCTTCTGGTTCTCCTAGTGAATTGCTGCTGGGTTTTGTAGCAGTAAGTGAAAGAAATGTGATAATTAATCTAAGGGGTCTCAAGCCCCACCAAAGGGGGTTGCAGCTGAAAGTGCAGGAACCACTGTACTCCAGAAACAGACACGACCTGCAGAAGGGACACACAGGAAGACTCAAACGGCTACGAGCCTCCAAACACTGGCAGTCAAGCGTGGAATGGATGGCTTCTCTCATTGAAAGAACTAAGGAACAATTCTGGAGAAGATAAAACGTCGAAGCAGAAGGCATTTCTAGCCGGGCGCAGTGGCTCATGTCTGTAATCCTAGCAGCTTGGGAGGCCGAAGCAGCAGATCACGAGGTGAGGAGTTTGAGACCAGCCTGGCCAACGTAGTGAAACCCTGTCTCTACTAAAAATGCAAAAAATTAGCCAGGCCTGGTGGCAGGCACCCGTAATTCCAGCTACTCAGGAGGCTGAGGCAGGAGAATTGCTTGAACCCACGTGGCGAAGGTTACAGTGAGCCAAGATCACGCCATTGCACTCTATCCTGGCAACAATGCCAGACTCCATCTCAAGGGGAAAAAAAAAAAGGGAATCTCCAGTGTGGATATAAACAAAAACAAAGACACAGTCTTTTACTCTCTTTCCATATCTCCTATCACCAAAAGTCAAGACATCTAGATGTCAGAACTATGAAATTTTTAACAATTCACAAAAAATTGAGTGACTCAGCCTGTCAGCTAGACACCTCAGCAATCCTAGATCATGGTGAAGACCTCCCCAAGTTAGTCTTTCCCAAGTTTAATGACGAATTGCAGCTTCAAGGAAATATGGAGCTATGGTCGCAGATTTCCCCACTCAAGCCCTTAGGAGGAACGAGCCAGCTGCTCATCTCAGAGAGCCCCACAAAACCAATGAGGTGTGTTAACACCAGAAGCCCCACAGGTGTGGCTGGTCTTACCATCAGCTCTAACTTCACTTTGCTGCTTGCGGCAGCCTCCTTTCCCACTGAGTCTTGCCTGTTTGGAAGGCCCAACTCATCCCTGACACGTCTGTCTCATCGGAGGATGCTGTCATGTACTCACAATTTTTTTAAATGGCTTTTTTAATGCAGCCCTTGGAAACTCTGCAAGAAATGCATTGATTTGAAATGCTCCAGCTGAATTATTGAGCTTTGGCAAAGGGAAATAAATCTTTCCCATTCCTCCATGCCTGTTGCCAAGCCCAGCTTCCAGGAAGCAATGGCTGCCCTTTCTGGAAATGAAGCACAGCTCAAACATTCTACCACTTTCCCATTACTTCCCCCACTCCCTCTTCTCTTCACTTGCAATTCACTGACAAAAGCACTTTACATTCATTGCTCATTTGCCTGAATAGGCATCCGAATTAGTAATGCCCAAATTAGTAATGCCTGGCTGAGGCAGCTTCCTAAATAATGAAGCCTGATCATTTTGGCAGACCCGCAGGCCCGTGGAAAGCAAGCCTGCAGCACGACATTAGGTTAAACACTCTTCTGGTTTTAAAACCAAAATTTCCCCTACAGACCTGGATGTGAACAGCAGAGGGTCTATGTTTGCTGATGCTACAGATGAGCAAGACCAGAAGCTAGAAATGGGGGAGAACGGTGCAGGAAAAGGGGCATATGCTGGAGGGCTCGAACGCGCGAGGCAGGATTAACAAAAACTTCCTGACATCTGCTGTTTCTTTCATTTCAGGCTGAATGATCATCTCACCTGGCGACGTGCCAGGGGAATTCCCATCATTACCATCAAAACACAGTTGGGGCTAACTGCTGAGCACTCATTTTGTCCACCTCTCCACTCACTCACCCACTCACCCTTCCGTCTAACCTAGGAAGCACCCACTATGCCTTGCGTCCTGGATTAGGTGCAGGGCACATCAAGGTGAACGAGACTCGGATTGTGCGGTCTAGAAGGGAAGAAAGGAATGTAAAGAGACATTTACGAGTCAGTGCATTGGTGCACGGCCAGGGAAGACTTTCTCAAGTGGATGGGCTACCAGCTTTCCAGGCAGAGGAATAGCAGATGCAAGGCCTGGACATGTGAAAGAGCACAACCAGTTTGGGAAACGTTGAATAGTTAAGTAGGATTAGGACACAAGACATATGTGAGTGTGTGCTCAAACGGGGGGTGAGGGTGGGAGGTGACAGTGCATCTCCATGTTTAAGAGACAAAATCTCACACTGTTGCCCAGAAAACAGAGCTGTTATACAGTGGTGTGATCACGGTTCACTGCAGCCTGGAACTCCTGGGTTCAAGGGATCCTCTTGCCTCCGCCTCCCAAGTGGTTAGGACTACAAGTGAGCCTCCATGCCCGGCTAATTTTTTAAAAATTTTTTGTGGAGATGGGGTCTTGCTATGTTGCCCAGGCTGGTCTTGAACTGTAGCCTCAAGTGACCCTCCTGCCTCAGACTCCCAAAGTGCTGGGATTACAGGCATGAGCCACTGTACCCGGTCAACGTCTCCATTTTGATGCTTAATAGGCACGTTATGCTTAATGCATGCCGACCAACCTCCAGATGTCACTCATCTAAATCCGCTGTTCCCAATCTTTCCTATCGCAGAGAAGGCCAACTCCGTTCCGTGGCCAAGGCATCACACCTTGCAGTCACCCTTGTTTCTTCTTTTACATCCCCCTTGCAGTCCATTGGTAGGTTCCATTGGCTCTGCCTTCCAAATGTACCCAGCTCTGCCCACTTCCGCCACCTCTGCTGCTACTACATTGGTCCCAGCCACCATCCCCTCTTGCCTGGATCACTGTTACTGGTCCCTGACTGGTCTTCCACTTTTCCCTCCCTGCATTTATCCTCAACAGACCTGCCAGATAGATCCATTCAAGTCAGATCCATTCAAGTCACATGGCTCCTCTGTTTGTAATTTCTATCATGTCACTCTGCCCAGAATCTCCCAGTGGCTTCCCATCTCACTCACCGTTCATGCCAAGGTCCTTACAATCATCTTCTGGGCCCTGCAGGACCTGACCTGTCTGTACCCAGCTCACACCATCCTTTCCCGCCATCATCCTTTCCCTCCTTCACTCTGCTCCAGCCACACTGACCTTGCTGCTGTTCCTCACACCTACCACACACTGTACCCCACTCAGGGCCTTTGGACTTGCTGTTCTTCAGCCGAGCTGTTCTTCTTCTAGACATCCTCACTTCCTTCCAGTCCTCCCTGGACATTCCTTCTAATGCCACATATCTCTGTTCTCAGACTCCCCCTTACCTTCTTTTTTTGTTTTCTCTTAGCATTCATCCCTAATCTAGCTCCCTAATAATTTTACTGATCAGCTTATTCATTTTCCTCACCAGCATGTGAACGGAACTTTGTTTGGATTCCTGCTATATCCCCAGTGTCTCAAGCAGCTTCTGGCCCATTTTCCGTACTCCAGAAATATTTCTGAATGGATGGGAAGCAATGGCACATGATGGAGACAGTGCAGTGTAGTGCTAAGGAGCGTGGTCCTGGAGTTAAGTGTCCTGGGTTGGAATCTTGGTTCCCCAACTTCCTAGCTGTGTGACCTCATGCAAGGTGCTTGCCTTTCTGTGCCTCGATTTCCTCCACTGTAAAACTGGGATAGTAACAGGACCTATGTCGGGAATTGTGAGCATTAAGTACGTTGACACGTGTGAAGCCCTTAGAACAGTGCAGGGTATGGATTACGCACTTGATAAATGTTAGCTATTATTGGGAAGGTTTTGTCTACTGTACTAAGGAGTTCAGGCTTTACCCTAAGGCTACAAGGAGTCACTGAAGAATTTTAAACAAGGGCGTAACATAATCGGATATTGTTTTAGAAGAATCACTCCAGCTGCAGAGTGGAGAATGAATTAGAACAGGGCAAGACTGGTACAAGGCGGCCAGTCAGAGGCTGCTGCAGAAATGGAGATGACAGATATTGTTAGCCTGAACTAAAGCAGAAGGGATGGAGAGGGGATGGGCTGAACATACTACAGGGAAGAATTGATGGAACTTGGAGATTAATTCAATGTGGAGAAAGCAATCAATGACAAAATCCAGGCTCCTGATTCCTGAAACTAGTTGAATGGAGGGGCCCACCCATCCCTACCCACAGAGGATGGATTGGCGGGGGATATATTCAGTTTTGTTTAACATAGTGAGGTAACTGTACGACATCTAGGTAAAGAGTCCCAGTAGGCAGTTGTATACATACGTCTGTTACTTAAGAGAAAGACCCAGCCTAGAGATAAAAAAATACTTGGAAGTCCCATTGCACTGATGATTGTTGAAGCAGCTGGAGTAGGTGAGTTTTCCAGAGGAAAACATTGAGGCAGCATGCAATTTAGGAAAAGTATATTCTTTTTTTTTTCCCAATGATATAAAGTTTATTTTCCATAATACGCATTCTTCAATGATGATAAAACTAGATTTAAGAGCAGAGAACCCCAAATAAATACGCCTTTGAAAGAATTCTATTTACAAAATTAGGACAGTTGTAACAATTAGACTCTGTAGCAGGCTTTAGCCTAATGCACGTGATTCTGAGTGTTGGAGGGGACAGGTTGGGACAGTAGTATCTGTCCAGGAGAGTTTCAAGCAGTAGATGCAGATAGATTTGGCATCTGGGGACAGCAGCCAGAGCGGCGGGGTGACAGGCAGAGAAACCAGGTCACAGTGGGTTGAGGCGCCAATGGGAGGCGAGGAGGAGGAACCCATGTGGAGAACTCTTTCAAGAACTTGGCTGTGAAGGGAACAGATTTGTGGTAGTGAAGAGCGATGTGCAATCCAAGTGGGTTTCTTTGAAGATGGAATGGAACTAAGTGCCAATGAGAGAGAAGCTGACTGTGGAGGAGGGGAGAAGCCAACTGGGGAGGCCGAGGCAGAGGAGCTCAGGGGAAGGGACCTCTGCATTGGGGGAGGGAGGCCTCTTCCACTGGTAAGGTGGTGAATGCATGCAGGTGGGGTAGGCTGAGGGCCAGGAGGGAGGAAGACAGTGACAGCTGATCCCTTTGCAGGAGGAGGTGGGACTTGCCTGGGAGCCTGCAGAGGAGGGGTGAGAGTATAGGTTAGAGAAGGGCTGCAGGGGTAGGAGGGAGGGACCAGGGACACCCCAAGGCTTGACAACAGCATGACGGCCAAGTGGGGGGAAGGGTACTGAACAAAGGAAACACTAACATTTCCACTCTCCTCGGAAAGCATAGATTTTAGGCTCAGAGATACCAAGCTCCATATTGTAACTGGTATAAAACCCAAACCACACTAATATTCAGTGAGAACATACAGTGTGCCCAGAGAAACCTTCCCTAAGAACCATTCCCATTGCTCTTTTTTTTTTTTTTTTTTTTTTTTTGGAGACACAGTCTCTCTCGCTCTGTCGCCCAGGCTGGAGTGCAGTGGCACAATCTCAGCTCACTGCAACCGTCACCTCCTGGGTTCAGGTGATCGGTGTTCTCAGCCTCCTGCGTAGCTGGGACTACATGTGTGCATCACCACACTCAGCTAATTTTTGTTATTATTATTATGATTTAGTTAGTAGAGATGGGGTTTCACCATGTTGTCGAGGCTGGTCTCAAACTCCTGACCTCATGGGATCTCCCTACCTTGGCCTCCCAAAATGCTAGGATTACAGGTGTGAGCCACTGTGCCAGGCCTCATTGCTCTTTTGAATAAAAACCTTCACATCTCCCCACCAAAGGCATGTAGAATAAAACCCCACTCTTCAACGAGGCATTCAACATCCTCAACACCGGGCCCCCGAGGCCCTTTCCCAGACCTTCTTCCCAGCAGTCTCCACACCTGCCTTCATCCAGACACACCCCCACCCCGGCCGCCACCCCGCAGGCCTTTGCTCACACACTTGCTTCATCTGTCTGGAACACGCTTTTCCTCCCTTCTTGCGTGTGGAAACTCACATCTCCTTTAAGGCCTGAAACTAAAGTCACTCCTTCCAGGAAGCCTCCTTCTAAAAATGTCTTTCCTCCTGTCTTTTTGCTTCCAGAGAACTTTGAAGATGGATATGGAATTTCTAGGACACCGTGTTAAATTAGAGTTATGAGTGCATATGTCTTTTTTCCCGCTAGGCAGTGAGCTCCGAACGCAAGCCTACTTAGGTTTGACTTTGTACTCCCCACAGAACCCATTCCAGTAAGAGTTCATGCTCTTGAGCCGGCAAGGGGGCTGGCCAGGGAAAAAAGATGACTTTTTGAATAGCAACAATGATTTCTATATTAAAATAGAACATAACCCTACAAGTATTGTGTTTCTAGTTATAAAAGTCCATGATTAGTTAAGTAGGCATTGAGATCATCAGTGGAAATTAGTCCTTAGAGTTGTAAGTTCAGAGTATAAGAGTATTTTTTACCCTGATCAATTGATTTATTTTTTTGGTTCTTATTCTTTCCTAAATTTTCCTTGTTTGGTATCTTAGAGACATTTTTCTTCCTGCTGTGCCTCATCATTACCTTAATTTCTTGAGCTTTCCTAATACAGTACAGCAGAGGCTGCTGGCACGTCACACAAACAGGATCTCTTTTGCTTCCGGGAGAATAAGAATTGAAAGAATATTAACTTCTGGCATTTAAAGGCAAAAGCATAAATTGGGATTCTACGATATGCCTCGTGCCTTGGAAATACTTTCGATTTCATCTTCACGACAGCTCTAACGGGTGGATATGACTGTTCCCATTTTCCAGATGAAAAAATACAGACACAGTCAGAGGAGTTAACGGACTTGTGATGATCCTGAGTCCCGTGAGTGATAGAACCAGGATTTGCAGCCCAGCCTGTTTGACTCCAAAGTTCAGGTTCCTCACCATGTTCACGGCACATCAACAGAGGCTTCTAAAGGCTGGAAGGCATTGCTCCCTCCCCTCCATCCACCCCACGCTGACAGTGGCCCCTGCTATCCCTGGCTTGGGACTGTGAACATCCTAACTGGGTGGTGAGTCTAATGGAAGGATGGAAAGAAGCTGATGTCTGGTCTAAGTTTCCATTAGCTATAGGAAAATACTGAAGGAAAAGCGGGAGGCAGTTTATTTAAAACTGTCAACTGCAGTGTGGATCCTTCAGCCATCTCCCTCCCACCCTTCCTAACTCAGCTCCCTGCTGTGTGGCTCTCCCATCATCCTCTGCCTTAGCTGAAGAAAGATGGCTGACTGCAGGCACGTAGAGGGAAAGGGAGCCAGGCAGATTTCCAATTCCGTGTTCATTAGTCTCCGTATATGGGAAGGTCTCTCCTCTATCCAATAAGAACTAAAAGGACCAGGGAGCTGAGAACCAAGCATGAGGAAGTGATCTTTTAAAAACAAAGCTAATTGTGCTTTTGCTTAAACTTTTTCAGAGGCTTCACAGGGCCTGCTAAACTCCAGCTTAACTTCCTACCTCACCCTCTAGCAGACCTGGCTCCAGCCACACTAGCACCTGCCAGTTCCCAGAGGCACTGCGTTCTCTGGCCTTCGCATGTGCCGCCCCTTCTGCCTGGGATGCGAGATCTGGCAGACAGTTTTCTGCCTGGTGAACCACATGCATCTCAACTTATATGGATATTCCTTAAGGGTCACTTTCAACGTAAAGTCTTCTATAACCTACCATCCCAGGAAGGATTAAACGCACTATCTTCAGAGGTGTTGAACAGCAAAGAAGCAGAAACTGGAACAGAACTGCCTTCTGCATCCTTTTTGAGTTTCAAAACCCTTCAATAACTGCTGGTTCCCTGAGTTTCTACTACACCCTGCCTACTGTCCTCCACCCCTGTCAAATGAATTTATTTGTTGTGTCCTGTTCACAAATATCCCTAAGCCCAAGTCATCACACACACCAAGCTCTTCACCTGGATGTCTTTCTGCCCTGAGCCAAATCAGGAGAAATGGCTGGCAACACTCCACAGTTTGCAAAGGGCTTTCAAACACATCATCTCCTTTGGCCTTCACGGTCGCCAGGTGAGTCGCTGCATGGGCATTATCGTTCTTATTTCCAGCTGAGCCGCCTGAAGGGAAAGGGGCTAAATGGCTTGATCAAAGTTGTCCAGCTAGAGGGCAGGCCAGGATCAGAACGGACATCTTCTGGCTCTCATTCCAGGGCTTGTCTAGTGCACCAACTCCCAGTAGAGGTGGCACCAGGGGTCAGTATCCTCCAAGAGGACTCTCCATGTGGACCAGCTGCCTTGCAGGGTGATCCTACTCTATTAGGGTATGACAGGCATCAGGAAATCATGGAGAAAGAATTAGAACCGTGTGCTTTCGTCCTGGATTTGCCCCGTGCCTTGCTTGGAGAGACTCAACTAAGGCGCTCACTGTCTTTGAGCCTGTTTTCTCATCTGGAAAGCGGGAGTAACTGAGTAACTTTTTTTTTTTTTCAATCATGCCCATCTTGCAGGATTACTGTGAGATCAAATGGGCCATGGATGTGAAGCTTCTTCCACATTACTATGAAGCATCAATCACTAAATCCTAAGTAGGTATCCTATTCTGGGGCATGATTTAACTTCTCCTGGGAAGTACATGAACTGATGAACCACAGGAAAGTGGGGTGCATCCTTTTCTGTTGTTTTAGGGCCTCTGTTTCCTTCTCCTTTAGGCTTTTGCTGGGACTGAGTTCTGGGCTTCCCGAGCTGCAGCACCCAGGTCCTGCCCCAGCCACCTTGGACGGCAGTTCACATCGTGCTCCCTGGGAAGAGCTTGATGCAAGGCAGAGGCCGCGGAGGCAGGGGCATTCTGCTCACATCTCTTTCCCTGCAGTACATTTTTGTCTTAACCTCTGAATTCCTAGACATTTGTACCCTTTTAATTTCTTGGTGAAAGCCTCACTGTATACTGCATGTATGTTTCTGCATAACGTTTCCTTGAAGGAAAATGATGCAGACCACATCTCACAAAGCCTCGGAGAGGATTGCAGAGCTTGCCGTGGAGAGCCATGGATCTGAGCCGTTTATGATGTGAGGTACCGCCAGCCTCTGAATGCTGGTGTCAGACCCCGGCATGACTCACAACGCAAACAGCTGGGCTAAGATCACGGTGCAAGAGTGGAGAGTGTTTCGGGTAATCTGTCTCACACTCGCTTTGGTGAACACATTTATGATATGTCATGTCTGCAATACCTACCTACTCTGAAAAAAAAAATTGTTTCCCTGTCACGTTTGGGATAGAATCATCTGTAGTTTGAACCCAAAGTATTGGGAAGAAAATTTTTTTTACTAGGTTTTGTTTACAAAGCCAAGAAAAGATATTATGGTGGATGTACACTTGGACTTTCTAAAAAAAATCTGAATATAATAAAATAGACACTTAACATGAGAAACTCTACTGAATACAATTTAATCTTTCTTCGATTCCTGAGAGGGTAATTCAGCATTTTACAGAACTTTGGGGTCACCCTTATAAATATCAGCTGTCACTGTACTGGTAAAATATATCATGTGCCAGTTAATAATAGCTTTGCAATTCACAGAAAATCAGATAATGAAGGTTTTACCGTAACTGGAATTACGACGTTAAAAGAATCAATGCATTTTTCCAAAAGGGCCTAAATCATTTCTAGGAAATAATTCATGCCTTGTAAGAATTTACAAGGAAGTGCCTGGTACTCCCTGGAAAAAGACAAGTTGTTCTTCATCATTCCTTTTTCGTTTTGCATGTGTACTTCATTGTATTACTGTTGTTAATCCTGTGTCCAAGGCCCTGGCCTCGAACCACACAGGCTTTTCTTAAATAGAGTGAAAGATTTCTTCGGCCTGTTTCTAAATCCAAGGAACAACATGCAGCTCTGCAAGCACATATCACAAGAAGTCTTTTCAAGGTCGTGCTCTTGGTGACCCTTTGCTTAAAGGACTTTGGGCTGGATTTATAGTTGACAGTTCTGAAGAAGCAGGAAAGGGCTGGGGGAGGGAAAGAGAAGGAAAGAGGGAGGGAGGGAGGCAGAGGCTCAAACCACACACTACTTAGCCACCAAGGACAGAGTTTCTACACTGTTTCATCGGAACACAAAATCTACTCTGTTGACTATGAGTCTGCTGTGAGTTGAAAAGAAGTTTACTTCCTTAGCATCTGGGGTCCTATAATTCTGAGTCATGGCCACATTACCTCTGCTACTGAAAAGGCAAGAGCTGGGTGGCAGAGACAGCCCCGCGGTTCACAGAGCCTGCGAATACAGGCAGGCAGGAAGGTTTCTATCGCAAGGTGGGCAGAAGGAGGGTATGCCCTTGGTGGGTGGGGTGAGGAGGGGCAGGGAAGAAAGGGAAAGCGACTTTCTTTTTTTAATGCTGGTTCTCTTTTCAGTCCAATCCAATTCTCCCCTTGGAAGGATGGAACATTCTGATTTCCTGTATCTCTTCTAAAACAATGAAATCCGCTCTCCCTGAAGGGCAGGTTTGCTGAAGCTGTTGGCTCTGGCTGGCATGCACAGCCCTGGCTAAGTAGCCATGCAGCACAGCAGGGACAACCCGGTGAACTGAAGGCTCACACCCGGAGCCCACCCCATGCACCCCCTCCCCAGCCCTGGGCCACCGCAGCCGGGGTTCCTGGGGCCTCCGGAATGTCAGGAAGCCCCTTGCTGCCAACACTTGGGTGGCAGGAAATCACCAAGCTATGAGGATAAAGACCAGTCAGGGTCCCCATGCAGCTTTAGGGCAGATTTTCTATTTCCCCTTGCGGTGGAGAAGCAGATTCCAAACTGCACTCAAACACAATACAGTCCCCAGCACAGGAGAAATGAAACCATTTAAATCTCAGGCCTTCATGCAGGAGCCTCCCCTGCAGCTTTCAAACTCACAGAAGCCTTTTGTTATAGGCCTAGGAATGTGTACTTAGTAGAGAAAGCGTGGCTGTGAACGAACACTGAAGGCTGGGGAACGAGCGACCCGCCTCTGGTAAGATCCTCCCTGAAGTCTGACGGCAGCCGGTTTCAGAAAACAAGGAAATCCACCCGAGGACAAGGTACCCAGCCACCCCCAGCGCTCTCCCAAAAGTGTTAGAATGAGAAGCAGGAAAGCACTAAATATATTTGAGTGTGTGAGTGAGCGCGGGGGGAGGAGTGAGTTAAAGGGGTTTTACTGCATTGGTTGCTGCAATTTGGGGGGGGGTTCCTAAGAGTTATTCCCATATCCTTCCCCAGGGGAACCTGTGCAGGAAATCGGCACTCTGCTTACTGTGATCAACTGTAACAGCACATATAGTACAGCCAAAATATTGCAAGGCATTAGAGGCGGAAGGGACCTCAGGACTGATCACCAATTTTCTTGTAAGGTTTGTACAAAACTCCAGTGAAGAGTGTGAATGCGGTCAATTTCTCCAACACGGGAGAATATCTATAGTAATGACCAGGAAAATAATAAAAAGCATTCTGAACAAGTGCAAGAAGACTCCTAATAAATATCTCATTACATGCAACGTATTTTATAGTGTTCCATAAATTTTAGGTAGACTAAAACCAAGGCTTAAAATGAGTTAGCACTGGGACATTTTTAATGCCACATGTGTCTGATTGCAAAGTGATGCTTTTAGACAGGGTTAGCCTCCCGCAAAATTCTTAAGTAGGTGATTCCGTCTCAGCTTTCCGGCTCTCTGCCCTTTTCCCTTCCAGGATGGCACAAGGTATCAAGGAATCACAAGACCAGCACAGGTTTTGGATCAGGCAGCTCTGATTTAAATCCCAGCTCCGTTCCCAACTAGCCTATGACCTGGGCAGGTCATCTAGTCTCCTGTCTTCACTTCCTCATCTGTAAAAAGTGGACCCCAACTCACAGGGATTGTTGTGAAATGCTGGACCTCGGCAGGCACTCAGAAATGTCACTTTGCTTCTTTCCTGCCTAATCACCCCCTTTCCCTCCCCTCATGATCTACACATCCCTGCTTCCTCTCACCGCCACCATCACCGCTAAAAAGAGCATCCAGGAAGGGAATTAAAAATGCTAATGCTCTGATGAAATGACCACCATGAGCTTAATGAGCCAGCTCCCTGGTCTACATGTTTTTCTGCAAAAATCCATGCTCAAGGAGTAGACTGGTAATGGTGGAAATCCAGGCACCCAAGGAAGGGCTGGGAAGTATTTCGAAGGCAGTGAGTCCTTTCTGGAAACTCTGAAACCAGACCGATAAGCAGACAGCTCCAGTGGCCGGGTCACCATAACATATTCCAAAAGATACAGCTTCTTGGAATTATCACTGGCCTTTGCTAAACCGCCTTTCCTTTTCCTATTGATTGCCAAGCTTTATATAAACAGAGTATTTCTCATTTTTAGTTAGATTCAAAATGAGTCCGGTAATCTAGATTCCACTAGAGAGCATGTGGTAAGAGCAGAAAGACTGGTTGAGGCTGAGCTCCTGTTATAAGCAACATCCGGGCAATGATTAGAGGTAGAGAAGAAAAAAAACAGAGGGGAAAAACCCTGAAAAGAATCAAAGATGTGCTGTCCCACTGCTCTGAAAGTGGTTGAGGCTTTGTTTTATTAAATGTCATCTACTTAAGAGTTCAAAGAACTTTCTGGAAATTGGAGGTGTTTCAAAACAACAAGAGCTGCCTGTGAAACAGTGAGATTCCCATTGTTAGAGGCATGCTCAGTGCTGTCATAGTTGGAATAGGGGAGGGCAGGAGGCAGGCACAGGTGACCTGGATCATCTTCTAACAGCAAGTCCTGTCGTAAATCTATGAAAGCAGCAGCAAATAAAGAGATAATAATAGTTTCAAATCTTTCAGAAGGTGTAGCTATTATTAAATATGGACCCAATCCACCTTTCCAGGTTAATCCTAATCAGGAACAGACAGGAAACTCTGACCTGTGGATCTCACTAATTATGATAGACATATTTTAGGTTGGATTTTGCCAACTCGAATCTCAAGACACCACAGCTTTTTTTCTTTTAGTGTGGCTTCCCTTACATTAATTCACACTTAGACTTTTTGCCCTCCATGATATATTTAGGAACCATGGACCATAGCACACAGCTGCTTGGTTCTGAGCTGAAGAGCCACTTGAACTCACACATGCACCCTCCAGACCTAAGCCTCCCCCAGCTCTTTCAAGGTCTTCAAAATGACTTTGCATTACTGGTCGTTTGTACTCTTTCTGAAATAAAGAAGTGCTCTTCTTCATGGGTTTACATTCCAGGGTTTTCTACATGAACTGTCAAGTTGGACTTCTACTTGGACTTGACAGTACATCTAGAAAGCCCCTGAACACAAACCCACTTCCAACCCCTCTGTACATTCTCTCTAGGACACCACAAGGGATTAGGAGAAACGTGGGTTGGAGTTCACTACTCATACTCAGGACCAGCTCACAGAGGTCTCAAGTAAAATGCTCCATTTCCTCCCCAGTTTCCACGTGATAGCCAAGATGAGGGTTTTACAGTGGGCAGGGAAACTGGGACAGTAGATGTGCATATGGCTTAATTATAGATTGGGGGAAACCTGCAGATATTGATCCCTCTCAGCCGAAAAGAGGATGCAGAAAGCAGCAAACTAGAGATAAAGATCTGGTTCTACTGAATCTTCTGGCTTCCTTTTTATGGTAAAAAAAAAAAAAAAATTAAAATCTCACATGAAAGACGACAAATACACAGTTTAAGGTAATTTTAAACATGTACCTTAAGTCAAGACACATTAATGCTTTGCAATGATCCATTATTTTTGGATTATCCATATTATTTTCCTCTTTATTAGAAGAGGAAATCAATAGTTGATATGTTTCTTTAGCTATGGCTAAATATTTCATGAACTCCATTCCTATTTTACATGTTTATTTTCATTCCTCCCATCTTCCATCCCTCTTTTTCTCATCTTCGGCTCTCTTCAGTTTCTTTCTTATATTCATGTTGCATCTCTCCTTGCTTTACTGTACATTTTTCCTCCTCATCATCCTTTCCTTCCTCTGTTCCATCATGCCATTATCTATGACCTCTCTTTTACTCACTTCCTTTTTTTGTTTTGGACACAGGGTCTCACTCTGTCACCCAGGCTGGAGTGCAGTGGCGCAATCACAACTCACCGTAGCCTTAACCTCCTGGGCTCAGGTGATTCTCCTGCCTCCAGCCTCCCAAG